GCTAAGAACTCACTAAATGTCTCAAGTTTTGCATTACAGAAAGGAATCTAATGTCCGAGAGGAGTATCGTTAAGCAGCATGGCCCACTCATGCCCACATTCCTGGCTCCTCCAAGTCAGCTGAGCTATTTCTGAGCACGAGCAGAAATGACAGGATCAGACCTAGTGGCATTAGTGGCTTCTTTCCTCATTATACCATTGAGAATTTTCCTGTTTTCCCAGAAGTCTCACTATTTACGGAACTGCTCCAAGCAAATGCTCTGAACGGGTGGGAGTGCCATACACAAACCATCTTGTTCCTTGGTGGTTATGGAGAAGGTCCTCTGAAGTCCATGCTCAGCATAGAAACGGCAATGAGTGGTACAGAAATAGACACTGCCCTGAATGTGCTGTCTGAGAGCATCTGCCTGGGAGGCCAATCCAGAGGCAGAGACAAGACAACAGCATCAGTTATCCACACTGCCAGACAAATGCTTTTAAAATAGTGTTTCCCATATAGCCATCACTGAAAAGTGCCAGGGAAATGGGAGTCTTTAAATGGAACAGTCCCCTAAACACAATTTGTCCAAGGCAATACAGTACGTTTACTTAAATCCATTTTTTTAAATGAATGACATTCAGTAACCAGAGTCAGAAATTAATCATCACACAGATGCCATGCCTCCTTGCTAAGAAAAAACGATTATTAAAGAGTAAACCACAAAGTTTCCCATCTTCTTTCAGATTAATATTAAAGTAAAACCAATTCCAGATCAGAGAGCAGTGTATCCACCTCCTGCTGAGTGCTACGGCATCATCTAAAAAAGTGGAGCCACACTGTGCCCTGATTTTGGTTTTGAAAGTGCCAGGCTATGTACCAAATTCCTTCCTTTGTTTCTGAACCCGGTTCTGCCAGTGCAAGTCTTGCTGGGCAATGTGTCTCTTGGAGTCCCACAACAGCACAACAGGAGCTAAGGTGACATGATCTGTCCCCTACTCTTCTTTCCAAGTTTTAAGACAACATCCAAAAGGCATTTTGTTGCTATAATAAACAGTGTAGTTCTGACTCACTGAGACATTTAAAATTACATTCCTATAATTTTATTTTTTTACTTTGCTCATTCAAAATCAGCCCATTGCGGCTTGTACATCTTCTGTACAAGCAACGGCAATTACTCACTAACTGGCCTGATGAGGCAGTGGAGTGTGTTTGAACATCAGCTCAAAGTGAGATGAAACTAGGACAGGGTTAGAACAGAGCAGTTTTCATGGACAGACCAAAAGGAAAAAGAAGTAGTCAAAATGAAGCAAGGACCTGAAATATCAGGGTCTTCTCAATACCAGTGCATCAGTCTCAAAAACAGGCAAAACTAGAATTCTAGCCCAACAGGGACTGTCACAAAGAAGAGCCCAAGTTGAGTAGCAGGCAGTCCAAGGCTTTGCACAAAACACCTCACTGGTGTGTGTCACCACCACATCTGTGTGTTATCAAAAGCAGCTTATGCAGTCACTCTTCAAGCCGTGAAGTCACTATGCTCGTTATTTTGGCCAGTTATGTGAGCACTGCATAGACATAACTTCATCTGCTGTCATATCAGATAATTACTTACCTTTCATGCTAGCCACCTAGTCAGCATCACTAAAGGAGCAGTATTCAAGCCTGGATAGCTCTTAGATGTCAATCTCCCGTTTCTAGATTACCCTCTGAGCAATCTCAGAGCAAAGGGCCACCTATGTACCAGCGCCCCCATCCTGCAGTAGGTGCTGGATGAAATCACTGCTCTGCCCAGATGATGATCGGGAAGAGACTATCCAGGCAGAGGCTTAGCACCACATGTGCAATGAGCTCTAACTTAACTTTCCAGATTTTATTTTAAATCTGGTGATATTTAGACTCTGTGAACATCAGTTGCTCTTTCAGGAGGCCGACACAGGGACAGAACTGTCTCTCCCAATATACAAACTGCTTCAGGACAGGAAGACAGGCCGTTTCTGGAGCTGATTAGGAAACAAGACTCTGATTGTTCAGATATGTCTCAGTGCTTTGCCTAGTGTCTTCTCTGCAATTTGTACAATTATTGATTGTAACAGTTGAATACAAGGGTTTTTTAAAATATTTGTGGCGAGATATGCTTCAGCAGTTTTCCATTTATGTGGAGGCCTAGGGATTACGTTATCCTTAGAACATATTTAAGGTGTGCATCTTTCCTCCAGACTCTGATTCCAGGGCTCTATCCAAAGCAACGTTCATCCTTTATTATCATAAATTGATACACAACCTTTCCCAGCTTCACTCAGTAGCTTCTCATTGGGCAGTGCGGTTAGAGAAAAGGTGATGTATTTGATTTTCCCTGAGGCAAGACCAGCCTTAAGCATCATTTTTCAACTGACAGGACTGACTCGAGCCAGGCAACAGTTCCCGTTTCCTCACCAGCCTGACTCTGCTTCCACACGCCCTGCAGAAATTGAATTGCCCGATTACCCACCCAGATTTCCTCTCTAATTCCCAGCTTTCCTGTCCATGTAGATGCCCCAGGAAAGGGCACAGAGCCTTATCTACAGGAGTCCTGAAACTCCTTGCAGACATATCCCTCAATTAATAGGCTCAGGAGCATCATCGAGTCTACAGGTGGAAGAAATAGCAGAACATGTTTCTTCGGTCTGCTGGACTGAGAGCTTAGGGGCGGAGAGAAGAGAGGCCAAGCCAAAATGGTGCTAAAATACCCACTATTGAAAAAATAAATAGTTCAGAAGATAGAAGTGATTAGGGGAAGGAGAAAGATCATGGATTTCTATTGGTGAAGATGCTGAAGATACTGAAGAAATTATCTGAACCAAGCAAATGCATTTTAAAGGAATCCTTGCAAAACTGAGCTTTTAAGAGAAACGGCCCAGATAACAATATCCTCACTTGAACTGATTTTCCTAATGTTTAAGAGCCTGATGAGTTACATCCTTAAGCAAAGAAGGTATCCGGGTATCTGCTTGGTTTTCTTTGTCTGTAGGTTCCCAGAAGACCACTGCCTCAATGTTGGAGGACCCGGCCGTTTCAGCCTTCTGTACAGCAGCATTTGCCTGCCTGTACTCCTAATCCAAGTGGCAGCCGCGAAGCGAGGTCTCTAACAGCCATTTACAACTTCTCCAGAGTATACACATCCCAGGCTGCTAGATGCACTCTCTCTACCTATCAACACGCTCCTAGCTATGCTTTACATTACAGCAAACGTTATGTTTATATAACATATACTTTACGTTGCAGTTTACGTGACTACGCACTTAATACAGCCTGCCCAGGACATTTCAGTACCCAGCTCTGTCTTCTATTGCGCACAACTTGGCTAAGCTTTAGCTCCTTGTGTTGCAATTTTCCAAAACAGGCGACTACCTCAAGCTGGATTTTTAAGCACAATCTGGCTATTTCTAAGACTAGGCCTAAGAAAATAGATTGTTCTTTACAGCTTAACCCCTTCTCCCGTGCCACCCAAACTAGACAACCATTTCATTGAGAAACGCTGGTGTCCATATGCTTTGGAACAAGGATTCACGATTTGGGAACATCAAGAACGCACTGCCCCACACACACTCCCCATAGAGCAGTGCTGGAGTCTGACAATTCAACACCCCAAGCTCCCCATCTGTACTGAGTGTATCACTGATACAGTAACTGTGTCTGAGTCGCAAACTGAGTCATTCACACCCATAAAAAAAGATAAATAATCAGCAGTGCTGAAATGACCATCTCATTAATGCATCTGTACAGATCAGCAAATATGAGGTTTGTTTGAAGCATACAGTTAAAGAGGCTTGCCATTTTCCTTGCTTTTCTTATTCCTGTAGTTGTATATTTGTAAGTTTTCTCTTCTCTAAATGAGAAAGGAGGGAAAAAGAATCCATTCCAACAATCGGATGGACATTTCTGGAACGGAAGGATCTAAAAAACACACCATGCGTTAGTATCGTCCTCCTTTTTATGGAGCTGTATTTATAATGGAGAAGAAGGACTCACTGAGACCAATAAATAAATCAATAAACTGAATGATAAATCTAACCTCTTCTCTATGGTTGCACCCTGCTCTCGCAGGGGTACCCTCAGGTCTGACCTGACATGTCTCGCCTAGCCAGTCCCCAAGCTCTCCTGACCAGAGAAAGCCAACTGTGCAACTTGACTGAATTGAAAAACAAAACCTAAAAAAACCCCATTGCTGTAGACTTCTGGGAGTTGTTAACACTCATTTTAAGCTGTGACCTAAGATTTGAACCTAGATCTCCCAAGGATATTCACCTTTTAAGCCACAGTTTCCAGGTCCCTGCTTACAGCTCTTTCCTTAATGCAAATACAATTTGACGGATTCTGGTGCATACAGCAATGATGTGGCTAGAGTCTCAGTCAACTCTTCTCAGAATAAATGTTGCCATTTTAAATGTGGCAATCAAGCTTGTAAAAGGAAGGAAAGAAATGCCACTTGCAACCTGAGTGATTCTGTTAACAAGCTAGATTTCTGCTTCAGGTTTTTCTGTCTGATAAAGCCACTTATCTCACCGCATTAAAGGTCATAAATAGTTGCTGGAACTGGGGAAAGTCCACACACAAGGCTTTTTGCCATCCTGCAACTTTTGCTAAAGCTTTTAGTTGAATCATTATTACAGTTCCTGGAGCTGAGTCATTTAAACTGCCTTACACATGAACACACACAAAGCAACTCTGCATTACAGAGCAAGTGTGGAATAAGTAAGTAATGGTGATAATACCGGACAGCACATGTCCCTGCACGCGAAACCGCAGTTCCATTTTCAGCTGGTACATTGGAAACATGAGAGGCACCCAGCCCTCAACTTGCACAATTACATTGGCTTGCCATTACAGGACTCCTTGGCCCTCCGAATGAAATCCAATTTTTATACTTGGAGACAGGGGAGGAAGAGGGAATGCAGGACTGTACAAAACCAGCAACTTTAGGGCACCTAGACAGCTGGACAGCTTCCCCGTACCACCACTGTATGTTCACTCGCCCTTGGCCCTACCTGGCCTGATCGAAACATCGCTGAGCACTGATGCCCGTCTCCAGAGAGTCTCAAAGAACTGTTTGGAGTATGTCAAGCTGCTCCATTTCAAGGTAACACGTTAGCGCCACGATTTCATTCCTCATCAAGCCTCATCCCAGAAGGTGCCGGAGCAGAAGCCAGGCATATTGCCTCAGTCCTGCTGCGGCTGCTTGTCACGCCAGACAAATGGTGTCTCAAAGGAAAGACCTTGGCGAAGCCTGGTTCCTGCAAGGGAAAAGGCTTAGTTAGGACTATTAACTTTCCAAGGTGTTTAGAGTTAGTAGCATATTTCATTCTAAGATGATGCACGTCTGGCTTTTTACATGAATGCCCTCTTAGCCTGAGTAAATGGATTAATTAATTAAAATAGGTATTGATTCTCTGAAGGTTGTTTCTACATCTGCTTTTGTATGGTATTCACGTGCCATTTCTTGAAATATTTTAAGATCTTGTAAACGCCAGAGATCACTAAAATTGGGGTTTTTTTTCCTCCCTCATCCTCCCTCCCCCTTCTTTATTTCAAGTCAATGTAAAAAAACCTCTTACTAAAGATCCAGATTCTCCCACTGAAACTGCGTATCACTTGTCTGCAAATAGATCTTCTCCCTGCCTCAAAAAGCATCCATGGCAGATGGCAGGGGACAAGCTGCTCTGGTAGCACAAGCTCATGCTGTCTCTCTGACGGCACATGAGCGAAACGGTCTGAGGGACCTGTTACCTGCACAGTGCCTCTCTTCAGATATAAAATACAGGCGCAGGAAGCGCTAGGCACACAGAGTACCTGCAGCTGCCAAAGATGCAGCAATGCCTTCCCAGCGACAAGAGCAGCTCTTCCTCGCGCCGTTACTCACGACTGCTGGAGCCAACAGGCCTGGCTGCGCCTGCCCCGGCCGGCTGCTGCCAGCAGCCAAAGCGGGTTTGAGCGCGCCTT